GGGTTGGACTGGGGGAGTTTGAGGTCCCTTCTAACTCTAATCTGTAATTCTGTGTGATTCATGGCTGATTACTGACAGCCCTTAGCCTGGGAAAGAGCCCTAAAAAGACAGGGGTGAAAAAGTTAAGAGATTATGGGACCAAAATCTAATCCCAAGAAACAGAATTGCACAGTGGAAACTTATGTTCAACTACAGTATTTTTAAGTATCAGTGGGTGTTTTATAACTGGGGCATCACTGTGCTACTGTGTTTCACGTGCAACACGCAGCAAACTCCTGATACAGTCGCCACAGTTTTTCCTTTTAAATCCAATAGCTAATGTGAACCAGACTGGCAGCTCTACGTGCTCAGACCCTATTGAGGCAGGTTGAGGACTGTTGTGGTTTTTTGGGGGTTTGTGTATTGGTTTATGTTCCCCCTTCCTCCCATCTGTTGAAGGACACCTTGTTTCCTACAAGATAGTAAGACTAACACACCGTGGGAAAGATTTCTACTTCCTATCAGCCCAGTAGTCCAATACAGCAGTGATCCTGAAGATTACAGAATGCTAGGAAAGACTGTATGTACATAAAATGTACTAGAGCACAGCTCTTCTCTAATCAAAGATCTCAGTAAACCACATGAACGGGTTTCAGGTGACAAGAGTCTTCTGCAGAAGCAGCACAACAATAACAAAGGTTTGTGAGTGCAAGGTGTATTACTGGGGCAGAACAATCCCATCCAAGTTATGGTAACATGGACAGCAGTGTAATTTCAACCTTCCACAGCAGAATGGAACTCAGCAGGACACATCCAGGGACTGAAGATAGAAATTAACCTGACTATGAAAGCATCTGAAAACCGTACTTCATTTTGGGCTGTGAATTCTATATAAAAGGGATTCAAGAAGGCCAAATCTCTTCAGACTTTCCACAGTTTATATTCTAAGAGCTGAAAAATGGGGGACAGATAACCAGCATGGGGATCATGTAAACAGAGCGAACACAAGAGAAAAGTGTATTAGCCCTTTTAACATGCAGGCTGAGAGTCCCTCAAAGAGGCTTTAACCCGTAATAACATCCGCATAAGCAGCCCTGTTCCTCCTCCGCCCTCTTGTAATGCCAAGTGTTCCTACTGCTCATTACCAGTGGACACCACTGCTTCCAAGCATGAAATTAGGCACACATTTCACAGCACACCTCTAGACTGCTGGAGCAGGGTAGCCTTTGTGCCAAAGCCTGTATTCTCAAGAAACAGAGGAATCTGGAAGTCCCTGGCTTTTGAGAAATGGACAGCTTAAGGGGGAAGCCAAATGCCAGAATTAAAGAGGTCACCACTCTTCAGCTTGGATTTCCACAGTAACTTCAGCTGTGTAAAAGGAGATCACAGCACCAGAAAACTGCTCTCATACCTGCATTTGAGTTACAGACAATGACTCAAAAACAGGATGGAGCCACCTCTATTCTGCAAAAACTGCAAAGTAACTTCAAGAAATTTAGAAAAAAACTAAGTATTTGTGATGTTCCCTCTATACACTACAAAGGAACAAAACTAGAACTTGCTCAGCGTCTTCTTGAAACCAAGCATACCTGAGCTGAGTTTTTGTCTACATAGATGTGGATAACTCCTCCATGTTTGTTACATTCCTCAATGACATCATCTTTAATCTCTGTGTCCCAGCCAGCCTCTTCTTCACTGTAAGGGGTGGAAGAAAAACAGGACAGAGAGAGAACTGTTATCACTTGGACAAAGTCCACTCCAAAACCCCAACTCAGCAACATTCCAATTCCTTTCTCTGATATTAAAAGTTACTAACAATCACCAAACTGAAACAGACTATGATAAATCACTTACGTTTGAGGATTAAACATGTTGGAAAGCTGGAAGCACTGTGTTGCAAGTGGTTGTACAGAAGCAGCTGCAGCAAGAACTGTTGTAATGGGAAAAAAATCCAGTAAAGAATCTAAGAACCTGCTATGCATGGTTCCAATTTAAATGAGTAGGTTCTATCCTTTAAAATCCCAACATTCAGCAATAATACTAACAAAGAGTTCTGACTAAACAGAAAATTGAAAGCAGGAAAACAAAGCTTGTAATTAGATTATATCTATGATAGAGAGATTTTAAATTGATCAATGGAGAAAATAGCACATATGAACTATAGCCGAGAGTGAAAAGATATATGTGTACATTGATTTTGGCAGATTTCCAGTTTAAACACTTAAATGCAGATATACACATCTAAAATTTTTTCCCCAGTTGTCTGCCAGCAGGACCTTTAATTTTTCTCTGTACAGAAGCCAGGCAGCAGCTCAAGACAGTAGCACCACCCCACCAGACTTCACAGGAAGTAACAGCGGCCTTTGAGAATTCTCAATATGTATTTTAAGCAGATTAAATTATCCTTCAAAGAAGTATATACATACTTTTGTCCCCTGGAAACAGGAAATATTTGACAACTACAATTAAAGACTTTAACTATGGAACAGATCTATACTCTTTCACAGTAACTATGAAATTACTACCTGGCATTTACTGTTGCTCATCATCACAATACATCTTAGTAAAGATAAGCACCGTCCTACAGGCTGCCAGCCGTGTTAATTCAACTGAAATAACAGCCATTTTCTCTCCACATATGCAGACATGAAGGGCTATGCAGTCAGGGAGGCAATGACTAACCCAGGGATAGCAACCCTAAACTCCTGATTCTCAAATGACCCTTCTAGTCCCTACCTCTGAGGCAGGGAAAAAACCCCACAACCAACCACACCTAAACGCACAAAACCAAACCACAAACACACACATTTTTGGGACTAACATATGGCTGGGGAATATTACCAACACTGAATAAATGCTACAAAGAAAAGGCAAAGTGTTTTACATACATTCTATTATTTTCAGTCAATCAATACATAGTGTGATTCCTACAGACACTAACAATATAATTTGTTAGGCTGTTGGCAAACTCTACACCAGAATCATTTCACCTACAGACATCTGCAACAAAACCTACAGGTGACAAGTTATATCAAATGCTATTTACCTTCACTCTGCTGAGATAGTCTCGTTTGCAAATCTAAAGAAAAACACAGAGAAGTTAGTATGCTTACTAGCCTGATGATATCCTTACCTGCCAGCCAGGTTATTCAGCCTGTATTTTTGTGGTTAAGAGCTTGTTCAAGTACCTCGACCTACTCTCACTGTTAACTCTCTAGTTGTGAGTAGTTCCACTCATTTCAGCTTCTCAGCTAGAACATTCTGTACGTGATAGAGATTCCATGACCACAAAGGTAAGCATATTTCAAAGATAAACAATACCTTGAAAGACATGGCCGTGTCCTTTAATTCAATGTTTTCTTTTCACCTTGCCTTTGCTGTGCTTGAACTCTTTTTAAGACATATTTTGTTCCACAAGAAAATAATTACAGCAATTCTTAAAGGCCTCATAAGTATGGCATCCTTACTAACAAAGTATTAAAGCACACAGTTACTAAAATGTGACATTCTGAAAGCAGCTAACATTTAATTTCAAGTAGAAAAAGGTGATATTTTACCTGTTATCTTTTTATGTCACAATGACACAAGTTACTTCAGTATTTTTCAAATTCAAAATATTTTCACATGTTCAGAACATTTAATTTAACAAGAAAACATTTATTACTTCTTTAATAACATATAACTGTCCCAATTTGAAGCAATGGGAACAAATACAGACTTTCTAACCACTTCCAAGTATATGATTCAACATCTTTAAACCAACAGAAAACTTCAGAATGCAAGACATGTGAGCGCATAAGCCTCTTCATTTATGTATCAATTAAACACAAACAAGGAGATAGAAGACTAACAGCAACCATCACCTTAATTCACTTATTTAGAAAGCAGTGAAGTGATGGACCCCAAGTAAGCTTCCAAGTTTACTTAGAAATACCTGAAGGTATTGGGTACTTTCTCCCTTTCTAATAAACCCTTCTCCACAACACCAGGGGACCAACAGGAGTGACTTTTTCTTTTTTTCCCCTCTAAATATTAAGCACTAAGGGCCCCAAAGACAAGTCTTCCTCAAGTGCCTTCCCAAGTGACTTCCACAGAACACCACATACCAGGAACCAAACTGAAAAATCAGAGGTGGGAGGAGCAAGCTCTGCAGGCTGAACTGTAATAAGAATTGGCTACGTTTAGCTTGCTTTCCATGTAGACCTGAACACAAAGAAATTCTCAGCTCGAGTGAGAAATGATGTAATGGGGAAGACGGCCTTATCCCGTATTCTCTGCAGGGACTGTATGGATTTGGCCAAATCCAAAACTAATTGCCTAGTTAATTACTACACTAACTTTTTTGTAACCAAATGTGCTTAAAAACAGTAAAAGCCCAAATCTTCTAAATTGCTCTAGTTAGATGAGGACAGGGACTTCTCCCTCTGCAATTCTGGCACAACTGCACATATCCATCACATACAGCTGAACTCAAACATCAGTCAGCCTGAGGTGCTACAGCCAAATGCTCCAGGCCACCCAAAACAAGTGCAGCAAATCTACACAGATCCCCAGTTGAAATTCTGCCTATGGCTGAGAGTCAAACCTCTCAAACACAGCAAGATCTGCTAACAGTGTCTTATGGCAGTAAGTTTCATAGGTTATTTTATCTACCACTTCTGAAACATAACCCTCTGTTTTCTTAACTGATTTTTCTTGTTGCTCATGACTGAAGGAACAGTCCTCTCCTCACATTTCTGAATTCACTCAGAAGTTAGAAATTCACTGTCACTCGACTGTCAACTCCTCCTCTTCCCTACATGCAGTTTTGAATAGAATGCGGAAACCAAAATAATTACATCTGTTAAGATCAAACTTTTTCACTATGTTCTGCATATATAATCTGTAACCGTAACAAGTTTAGCATGACTGAGAAGTACACATTTAGTATAGAGAAGGAAAGAAATTAAGAAATATCTATCAAAGCATTTTGTGTCTTAAAACCAAATGAAGTTGGATGTTTATTCTGAAACACAGCTAGCTTTAAATAAACTAAAGCCTGCCAAGTATTCCTTGTTTTTTTTAAGTAATTACTTACAACAGAACAGCAGATAAGATAGTGGTCCTGGATGGCAACACCTATTCATCCCTCTATTGCAGCACACCATCTCAATCTTTTCATAAACAGATAGATCCTTCCCAAAGGTAAGGAATGTTTTGTCCCATGAAGCTATGAATGTTCTAGAATCTCATGATTATTTTTAAGTTTCAGGTTTTCAGACAGAATTTACTGGAGAACAGAAAGTGCACCACTACAACTGTTCAGCTTCAATTCCTTTTCCTGCTGGAATTTTCACTATGGGAAGTTCACAGGTCTCACATAAAACTAATTCTTTAGCTTCCCTATTTTAGTTTGATTCAATCCATCTTGAACACAGGTGACCACAACTGCTCATGAATGCATAGGTAGCATCTCAGATGCTCAAGTATGCTACTTATAGAAACACAGCTGCCCTTTCAAAAATGCAACATGCTGACACTTCATATTCACTCACTGATAATACTGGAATATTTCAGTATTTCCTCCTCCTCAGTCACCTTTCACTGCTAAGCTCTCAGGCTATAAAACTAGAAGAGATTTCAATCCTGAGCAGATGAAAAGTGTACAACACCACCAAAATCTCTTATCAACAGCACCTCTGTATTTACTCACCTCACTCCTACTTTTGTTGACCATTGTTATTCATATAAATATTAAACAAGATCAGCCAAACACCTGAACTTTAGCTTCAACAACAGCCTCTAGCCATCCCAGCTTGCACCCAAAAAATTCCGAGTCAGCTTCTTTACACATCTTGTGCTTTCCATACTACCCACTTCTCTAGTTTAATAATTTCCAAATGACACAAGTCAAAAGTTTAGAGTAGAGCTGTACTGCTACTTCTCTAAGTTTTATCGAAGTTTGTTAGCCTTTCAATGCAGTTTCTCTGAAAGCAGGCTATACATTAATAATATTCTCCAGTTTACCATCTTTAGTATGACTTTTAAAGGAGAGAAGTGAAGTCAATGTAACAGGACGCTAAACCGGCCAGATTCTGTTTCTTCTTCCTACTTTAAATGTAGGTACTTTAGAATTAGATGTTCCAGCTATATATTGTATCACAGACTTAAAATGTATCAGTAGCAGGTATCAGACCTTATTTCACATACCTATTCCTTCAGTATTTGATGGGAGTTTTTTCACTACTCTGAGCTGAGTACATTCAGCTTGTTTAGGTTTCCTTCTACCTTGTGAATATTTTTCTTTTTCTTTTAATCCAAATCTCTAGCTTGCCTTCCTCAAACTCTAAACTTTATGATCAATGCTCCCCACTACAAACTGAGGCAATGAGGTTACTCTGAAACATCTTGGGAGTATTTTTTCATTTAACTTCATCCCCACTTTCTTTTTGTTCTCTTCAAGAGGTGGTACAACTTCATGTGTACTTTCAAGTCTTTCACAAGGTCTAAGTCAAACTGACTGTTGGCAGGTAATTCTCATTTTATCTATTTCCCAAAATAAAGTTTTACTATCTGTTCTTTTTCCTATTCTTCATAGGCTCTATGCTCACTCCTTGTTTGATGTAGTTAATTACCCAGTTCAGTGTGGAGCCCATTTCTAAGAGGACTGTTTCTTCTTTCTGTGGAACACAGATCCAATACAGCTTTAACAATTTGGAACAGAAGAATCTTTTTACATCCTCCCTGTTCAAACACTCAAGTTCCTTAGACCAGATGACTTTATTGCCTTGTTTCTTCAACCACCACTTCTGAAATCAGAAGCCTTAGTTACAGACCTTTTTGTTTATTCTTCCATTTAAACTTGAGCAACTCACGATCCCTCAAGCCAATGGTCATTTCTGTTCTCATCCATAACGTCTTCGTTACTTACCAAATTGAGTTTAAAATAGCATCCCCTCTTCATGAGTCAGTGAGTGTTTGATGAAGAAATTTGTCGGATATCACATCCAGGAATATCTGGGCCCCACCATTATTACTAGCAATTCTTCTCCAATCTGTATCAGGGAAGTTAAAGTCTCCCATAATGACATAATTCCTGGTAGTAATTTTCTCTAACAAGAGTAAAGAGATCTTTAATCCATAACCAAATCTCACTTTGGGGATAGCTCATGACTCTATGGTAGTAAAAAGCTTTATTTCCAAAGTTACTCAAGTTGCGCATGACCGCATTATTCCTTCTGCACAAGTGGAAAAAGCAATGCTACTCCTGCCACTTTTGTTTCTACAGTTACTAAACACGCATATTCTTTAAAAAACTGTATTCAGCCCTGTCATTTATTCCTCTATAGTCATATTGTCTCGATGATTTCATGCTATCCTAACAGCTCAGCTGCATCAGACATTTTTGGCCACTTTCCTAACATAGGGAGTTTGGATTTCTTTGGCTTGCTTGTTTCAAATACGGGGTGCGGAAAGGATTGGTGTTTTTTAAAAAAATATTTCTTACTACCTTTCAGTCTTTCCGTTTCCAAGCAAGACTGTCACACCACTATCACCTACATTAAAGGTGATCTAATCTCTCCCTCTCTTTCTGGTCTAGATATGCTTTTTACTTGCCACTGCCTTTTTCATCTTTTTCTTCTCAGACAGAGGGAAAAAACCTTACTCCTCAATCCACATTTTCTTTCACTAGACAGTTCCTTTTAATTCCAAAGGTGTATTATTATATTCTGTTAGCAACTGTCTACAGTTTCACATGCATGCTCTTAAAACTGCACCTGAACTTCAGTAACATGCTTCAGGTGTATCTTAAGCCTGAATCACTTCTGTCACAAACTCTGCTGGAAAACAAACAAAACAATGCCACCTATACTCTGTTCATTTTCTGACACTTCTCACATGTTCCAGCATTTGATTATTTGTGACATTCACGTATTTTCTACTGCTATGAGTTTCATGCCCTTTGTGCTTGTATTAACAAAAATTCACAAGAAGAAATTCCACTCTACAGTCCTGTGGGAGGTTACTCATTGCTCCAGTTCCGAAGCTCTCTTGAATAGTTTGGTGTTTAGGCCAGCTATGAACTAGGAGCAGAAATCCTATCCTCAGCCTCATTCCCTCTCAAAAGAAAATAAAGTCTCAGTAACACTTCCAACATACTCACTTGCAGAACACACAAACTATAGCTGATTCCAAGCCACATTCAGATTCCCCTGATGTACGGTGTCGTTCCTCAACAGGACATGCAAAGTGAATCACACCCAAAGCTGTCAATGTTTATTTGCTCATGGATTTGCAAGACTGTAGTTAAGTACCTCATCTCAAAATTACACAGCATGAAGTATTATTTAAAAAATTTCTTACCTGCCACAGCTCCAAATGCCAGAGATCCGCTCATCTGCAGAGCCTGCTGTGCAGCCGGGGGAATCTGCAAACCAGTACCTAGAACAGAATATGAATGCCATGACTAAGGGATGCAGTAACAGAAGTACCAGAAATAGCACTATTCTCAAAAGCTTAAAAGAATCATGCTGTGCATTTAGCGTAATGCTCTTTGGTGTATATTAATTGAAATTATGTGAACTTATTCTCTGTATTTTCACACACACCTTCTGCAAGTCTTGCCATCAACTGAAGGCGACCGGTTGTTCCCAAGTCAATTCCAGTCCGTTCCAACTCATCACTGTCCAAAAACGAACTAGCACTGGAAGCATCAGTGCGCTCAGTTACGTGTCCAACTTTCATTGGCCTACCAGCCAGCTCAAATCCATTGAGCTGTTCCAAGGCCTTTTTGGCGCACTCAGAGTCTGAAAACTGTACATTGGAAAACAAGTTCAGTAATAATACCTACAGAATTCAACACTTCTACTGTGTTAAGTAAACATGAGAAACTAAATTTAAGGTAACAGCTAACAAGCTACCTTAAATGTACTCCATATTTTCCACTAAAACTGAACACACAAAAGTTTGGATATTTACTTTCTTGTGTTTAGATAAGAGTATATTTAAATATATATTGTTGAAAATACAGCATTTAGACATTGCAATCAACGGAAGTCATGGCTGCAGTTGTCCTTCACGCTTTTCAAGAATGACAGCCACTAGCTATATCTAACAGATATTCTGCTCTGTGCTGCGTAACATCAAATGAAATACATAAATAATTTGTCAGTGTTAAAACCAAATACATAGTTTGGTTTCATTTGTCTCCAAGTGCCAGAGGTCCCAGATGAGACTTTTTCTCCATGACAAATTGCCATGTCAGTCACGAGACTCAGGTTCACAAAATTACATCTCTGAGGGTAAAAAAGGAAAGATGTTTTCAAATGGAAGTTTCAGTCTTGAAAATTTTATTTCCCCTAAAAAGTTAAAATTCAACCATTTTCACAAGACCATGAAAACACAAGCAGACAGCACTGCTTTACCAGGCACCAATCATGAATTACACTATTTTATTCTAGACCCGTGCACTGTTCAACCACAACACCCACAAAGAACTGGCAAAAACAAAGAAAAGTGTCACTGTTGCGTGTCCTGCAACATGACATTGCTAACACAAGACTTAAAAACTGCTGAGTAAGCTATAGTACTACATGGGAAGGTTACACTTAAATTGTCTAACAAGCCTGGCAATTCCAGTCATACCGTAATAAATCCATATCCTTTTGAGCGTCCAGTTTCACTATCCATCATCAGCTGAATGCTTTCAATCTAGAAATAAGAATAAAGCTATTTATTACCAGACTAAGAAACTCCATTTTACAAGGTAAGAAAAGCAGTTTACATGATTCTAACAAGAGGCTTCAAGAAAAAGTTGCCTATTTTTTAATAAGTATTGGCACATAGCAACAATGTTGCAATGTTTACAGTTGCTGGATTTAAAACATATCAGTAAGCCATTCATGAGCCATACAATAGTGCTAGGAAGAAATAGCAACATGGGAGTAAGAGGAAGAACTGAGTTTTAAGATTGCAGTATATAGAATCAGAAGGAAAAACCTTCACAGCTCTACATGTGAGCCTCCTAAACTGTATTACTCCTACTGCCAAACCTTGAAAGAAAACAAGAGCAGCTATGTAAACTAATAAATCGCTGCCATTTTCCCGGCTTCTGCACAACAGAATTAAAGGGATACACATACTGAATCTGAATAAAGCACCTGAAAAGAACTACTATGGAATGAATGAGGCAGGGTTAATATCCAAAGACAGTATGAACATCAATGGACTTGATAATATGCTGCTTAATGGGAAAAATCTAACTATATTTTTTTCCCCTATCTAACCATTATATACCCATGATACCTTAGTTAACACAGCAGAACTAACATTTATTATTACTCCACTGGAAACATCAGATACAATCTGCTCACTTCAATAACTGCCTCTGCAAAAATATATTAACATTGCACAAACTGGGGTTTGACGCTCAGGAATGAAAAGGGACCTGGTGTCAGAGCTGTACTGGCCACACTCCTAGTTCACGGCAGTAATCAGAGCTAAAACTTAAGCAAAAATCCTCAGAAACAGATGAAACTACTACACTCACAGTGAAAAACTCAAGACCCGATTCTGTGCTTTGTGCTTTAACCTGTGCAATGGGGACATCATTCACACAGCAGGGGGAGGTATTTACAAGCTGCAGAAGCAGGATATAATGCAGGTATTTTTATTTTGATTTTTACTTTGTTCCATACTCATTGAACTCTCAGCTTCCCTTCATAAGGCCTGCCAATCCAAATCACTGGATCACACTACAAATCACAGAACACATTTGTTCTCCAATACTAACTACGTATCTAAAGCTTTGTGGGTGTACAGGCATAGAAGAGCAAGAAAAAGTAAATGTATTTCAGGTGTGAAGCTGAATTATTTCCAGAAGCTGTGAGTGGTCTACAAGTCATTTACATTTTTTCCTCATAAGCTACCATAACATAACATGCCAAAATAAAACTTACCCTGCCAAATGGCTCAAAAATTCCTCGAAGCATATCTTCAGTTATGTTGAAGTGCAATGATCCCACATAGAGCCTCATAGGACCAGCACTGCCCTTCTGAAGATTATTTGCCATTGCTGCTGCTCTATTTTTCTCTGCCTAAGGAAAAAGAGAAAAATTCACCTTCTGTAAGAAGTCAATAAAAACTCTAACATAAGCAGTATATAGCTACCAGATTTAAACTATCAGATTCAACAAATATAAAAGCTGTTTTATAATCTGCATGCTATCCAGTGGACCTTAATTTAAAATGTACAAAATCCCACACCACGACCATGCACAGACAGAGCTTCCAAAAGGCTACAAATTGAACACATACATGCAGAATTCTGGCTTGCATCTAGTAAATTTGCACTTTACTTTTTACAAATGCTGGAAAGCATACAGAAAGTATACTACAATTCTGTAACACTGTTACAGTTTCATTATTACAACTTTCTTAACATCTGTATTTTCAAAATGCATTCGTATCACTTCAAATTGTTTTCAACTGCCTGTCAACTATGGGAAACAAAGGTCCATTTATAATTAGCTAAATCATTCTTAAGGTTATCCAGATGTTCAAGAGTAACTAGATTTTCAAACAGTAAGCTTAGCAGCACAATAAAAGATGTAAACCTTTATTCACGTTGAGTTACGCAAGTCCTTACCTGTGATGCTTGTACTATGATCGGCACACCCAAGACTCTCTGTCCAGTTAATCCTATTGCCAGAGGTACTGAACTAACATCAACAAATTCTACGTAAGCAATTCCCTTTGAACGTCTGGAATTTCTATCTGAAATCATGCGCACATCACGAACCTGAAAGGCAAGGACAGAAATGCTGTCAGAGATAAAGGAAAAAAAAATACAAAAAAACCCCCAAAAGCAGCCCATTCCTCATAAAGGTATTAATAACGAGACAGTTATTTGCCAAGCCAATGCCTTTAAAGCTATCTCAACAAACATATCCCACAGGCAAGCTACTAATAAAAGCTGCCATTCAAAGTCAAATGCAGTAGGCTACAGGAACATGGGCAACAGAATACTTGCAGCACTGTAATGGTTTAAGCCAGAACCTTACAGCTGATGGAACAAATTAAGTTTCTCAAAATTAAAAGTTAAAATTAATTTTCAAATTGCACTGTAACTGTTAGACCTAGCTGCAAAAGACAAACGTCTGAAAAATGAAGCTGTTTGAATCAAAACTGCGTTGCCATGTTTTGCATCACATCATATGCTGCACAATGAACTCTGTTGAATGGCATTTACACGGCCAGAGCATTTAAGAATTAGTAGGTCACCATTCATCCCCTCTTTCACCTATACAGGAAGCTCCAGAAAGCCACTTGCATGCAATTTTGCAGAATATCAATCCTGTACTAGAACAGCTTGAGAAGTATTCACAATCATTTTAACCTCCCTATGAATTACCTTCCCTACTGTAGAGAAAAATTCTTCCAGGTCCCTCGGTCGAATCCTTGCAGCCAGCTGCATGCAGAATACTGTTCTAGCATCCCTCTCTTCAGGGGTAAGATTATCAATAGGTTCTCTGGAAGGAGGAAAGTTCAGTTAAAAAATAAAGGTAACTCATCTCTGGACCATGCACAAAACTTTAAATAAGCAGTACTTCAGAGTTTGATGAGGAAGAAAAACATCTGCCATATTAAAAAAGGTACAGTCAAGAACGGAAGGGAATATCTATTATTAATACAGTAATTATACACTTACTACTTTAACATGATATAACGTTCTGTTTCAACTCCAAGCATTAAATATGCCTGGAAAATTGTATTTTAAGTACAGAAGCCCCAACTATACAGAGGTCCCACTTTGCAACTGTCCAGAACAGGTGATACATATCGAATAAGAAAAAGCAGCATTTGCACAGTACTGTTCCACTCCATACTTAGGACTGTTAAGTAAGGTTTGGCACAAAAGCTAGGTAATTTAAATTACAATTAATAGGGAAAAGATTGAGAAAACAGAAAAACAAAAAGCAAAGCATGACATGTTTTGCAAACTGGCAATTTACAGTTTTTTGTTTTTTCCCCATGTCATAACTACTCCTCCCCTAGACGCACATCTTTTCAATGTCCTCTTCTCACAGGTTCTCTGAATGAATTCCAGCATTACTTGTGAGCATAAGCTCTAGAGCAAGTAGCCACCAATTATTTCACCATAACTTTTCCAACTTTAACTAGACAAAAACACTCAAGCACATACAGAAATTCCTACCTAACAGGGCTCTTGTCTTTTCTGAAGGGACTTTTGCTTCTGGAACGTCGTCTGCTGTAAGGAGAGATCAACAATACTATAAAAAAATCTGCAAATACACCAGTATGATTTTAAACAAAACCTGTGATGATGCAGTAAAAAGCAGAGAAAGCTCAGAAACCTTAATTTGATGCTGTGAGGCAGACCAATCTTCCCTCTGATGGCACTGTTGAATTTTGGACCAGAACTACAACAAAAGCAAAGACACACATTACTCACCGGAGTACTGGAATTCATGATTTCCTATCTGTATTTGCATTACATTGCAAGTGCTCTCCCACCCTCACACCTGAACATTTTCCATTAGCAGCACCCATACAATGCAAAAGCTATGTGCAGCAGTCCAAAACATAAGGCACAGAATAAGCTCCCTGCTCAGCTTCATGCAGAATATGTAGGACTCTTAAGTAAGAACTGACTCATAAGCCAGCCAGACTTAGCACATTTGTATGTACAAACTATTCCAAGCTGGAGTTGTAATCTTCTTGACGTGTTTGGTGGTTTTTTTGTCCACACACATACTCTACCTGCTGATGACTGCAAAGCAGTATCCTCATGGCCTGGAAATCAGTCTCAGAGCTCTAAGCAAAGCCGTGCAGGCAGGGCTATTTGCTCAAGTGTAACATTTTAAAACTTAAAGAGTTTAGTGAAGTTTAAGGTGCAAGCAGAAACAAAAGTACCTCCCTGGAGACACCTGCAAAGGGACATATTCACTAATGCTGTCTCAGGTTTAAGCACTAAAGTGCAACAAACATGTAAATGCAGCTTTAAGTAAAGTTCTTAATGGACATCAAAACACAGAACCATTTAAGCCAGAAGTTAACCGTAAACAGATATGTCACCACAGAAGGGATCCAATCTCTGAGCTGAATCTAATTTTAGTTCTCCAGGTTTCACAGAGGCTGCCAGAACAAATGACAATCTGCCCAGTGCTTCCATGTTAGGGACAGTCCTTTAACTAGTTATTGTGACACAAGCAGTAAGATTCACCCTATCATGTTCTCCCTGAACTCAATATCCTTGTAGATACAAGGCAAAGAACATCACCTGTTAGCATTCCTCCTGCTGCACAGACTGAATGCTAGGGGGTTTGTCTTTCCATCTGCACAGAATTGATTCTTTTTGCTGAGGCTACAAACTGATGTGAAAATAGCCTGAAAGACACAGTCTGAAGACATTAGCAGTCTTTCACTAAATCCATTTAGCCAAACAATGTGTCTGATAAATGTCTTCTGCTACTCAGTGGAACAGTAATGTTTTTTGTTAAACTCAGCATCTACAACAAGGAGGAGGATGCCCATTTTTAAACATGTCGTGACAATGGTGGAAGTAGTAGGCCAAGATCCAAAAACTTGTGCTGGCCAGGTTAGAACAAAGGAAATACAGCCCTGTATGACACTGGGGGAAAAATTTAAAAAAAAAAAACACATTAAAACTAATAATTGGAAAGAAAAGAACTCCTTACTATGATAAAGACATAAAATCCAGCCACATGTTGAAATGAGTTCATTATTGATCAAAACCAGACACTTTTTTTGCCTAGAGTAAACCACTCTATTTCCCGCTCAAGTTCAAACAAGTGACTACTGCAAGGATTCAGTCCGGTTGTCCAATGTCTATGGCACAGATGAAAATGTTGGTACTAATTCCAGAGGCTGGCTTCTTATCAGAGATGGCATTACCCTGCATCTTCACATCTCCCGATTTAGGACATGGTGATCTCCAAACAATTAAAATTCAGCAAGACAAACCAGAATATTAACATGCAGACCAACTAAATAATGGTCAATAATCAAGAACATGAGTTTAAGTAAACAGTGAAAGAAACATTTAAAGTGTTTCTCTAAACCTAATGAAAAAAACCCCCTGAAGATCCATAGTAACAGTTTTCAAAGACCTGCACTTCTGAGAAAAAGGGGAAAAAACCCACGCAAAAAACCCACACAAACCAAAGCCACCGAACACAAACCCCACCACAAACACAACTCCAAAATTCTCTTTTCCATTTTCACTCTTGACAAATAAGTAATATCTTATTTACATGACTAGATGGGAAAAACATTTAAAAAAAATACAGCAGCAAACTAAAGCCATAATAGACCACTGGAACAGACTGAGTAAAAAGCTGCCAGGGCCAAGATGATGGCCCAAGTTAACTTTTGAAGGTCTTTTTTCAACAGCATTTTGTAAGATACATTTCTTTGGGTTTTTCTAAGAAGACTTGCTTGTAAAGCTTGGGAATCTCGATCTCTGGGGAACTTCCTTCTTCCCTCTAAGGACTCTTTGCAACTGTTGCTCAGTTCCTGCTACAAGGTATGGATGCACTGATTCACAAGGAATTTATATTTCTGTCCAGGGGTTACCTTCTTTATCAGCCAAATGCACCACATGCTGTGTACAGCCAAAGCACAGCTAGGTACATGTTTTTCTAAACTTACAAGATGGCACATGGTTCAAGAACAATAGCCAGGTCAGAAGACAGCTGATAAATATCAGCTTTCACCTGCTCACTCATATCCAAGACTTCAACAAGAAAGCCTTCAAACAAGATGGTTAGTGACCTGCTACATCACTTAGATATACGCAAGGCTATGGGGCCAGATGGGATCCACCCCAGGGTCCTGAGAGAGCTGCAGAAGTGCTCACCAAGCCACTTTCCACCATTTATCAGTGGTCCTGGCTGACTGGGGAGGTCCCAGTTGACTGGAGGCTGGCAAACGTGACGCCCATGTAAAAGAAAGGCCGGAAGGAAGACCCGGGGAACTACAGACCTGTCAGTCTGACCTCGGTGCTAGGGAAAGCAATGGAACAAATCATCCTGAGTGCCATCACATGTCATGTGCAGGACAACCAAGCGATCAGGCCCAGTCAGCATTGGTTCAGGAAGGCTAGGTCCTGCTTGACTAACCTGATCTCCTTTTATGACAAGGTGACCTGCTTAGTGAACAAGGGGAAGGCTGTGGACATTGTCTACCTGGACTTCAGTAAGGCCTTTGACACTGTCTCCCACAGCATCCTCCTGGAGAAGCTGGCTGGGCATGGCTTGGACGGGCACACGCTTTGCTGGGTCAAAAACTGGCTGGATGGCCGAGCACAGAGAGCTGTGGTGAACGGAGCTAAATCCAGTGGTGACCAGTCACAAGTGGTGTCCCCCAGGGCTCGTTTTTGGGACGAGTCCTGTTTAACATCTTTATCAATGATCTGGATGAGGGGATTGAGTGCTCCCTCAGCAAGTCTGCAGATGACACTGAGTTGGTTAGGGAGTGTTGATCTGCCTGAGGGTAGGAAGGTTCTGCAGAGGAACCTCGATAGGCTGGATCAATGGGCTGAGGCCAATTGGATGAGCTTCAACAAGGCCAAGGGCCAGGTCCTGCACTTCAGGCGCAATAACCCCATGCAGCACCACAGACTTGGGGATGAGTGGCTGGAGCTGCCAGGCAGAAAAGGACCTGAGGGTGTTGGTGGACAGCAGAATTACCATGAGCCAGCAATGTGCCCTTGAGCCAAGAAGGCCAACACCATCCTGGGGTGTATCAGAAGAGGTGTGGCTGTAGGTCAGAGAGGTTCTCCTGCCCCTCTGCTCTGCCCTGCTCAGACCACATCTGGAATATTGTGTTCAGTTCTGGGCCCTCAGGTCAAGGACAGGGAATTGCTTGAAAGAGTCCAGCGCAGAGCCACAAAGATGATGGAGGGAGTGGAGCATCTCCTGCTGAGGAGCGGCTGAGGGAGCTAGGTCTACGGAACTCAGTACCAAAGCCTCTCGGGTGCATGTAGTTGCTCTGTACCAGTTGGCCATGAAACTCCATTAACTTGGTTAAATAAAAGCAACAATTCAGGAACTGAAACAGAGAACACAACACTACCAAACCAATAAGCACAACCTGATATTCTCAGGGGATACCAGTTCATCTTGCTTTTTTGTTCACTGTCTCAATACCAAAGAAATTGCCCAAAACAGTTATGGAAGAGTAAGAGAAAAAGACCCCTTGCAATCATTTACTTTCCTGGCACAACATATCTCTACAGGCATGGGTTACTGCAGCAACGTCCATACTTTCAACACCTACTTGAGGAAATATTCTGGAAGACTGCAACACTGAAGCTCCTAAATTTCTCCAGGTGAAGAACCTTCTCACCCAGTGACAACAGGAAAAACGAAGAACAGAACTCTCTCACACAGCTAGGAGATTGCAGTAACTCCCAACCAAGTGATGACATTAAGGACATCCTCTCCACACACCACCACATAGGAGGTAAGATGACTGGCCGGCTCCACATACAGAAGGCTTAATATCTTGATTGAGGCTCCCATGTTTACAAAGTAGTCTAGAGCCACAACAGTGGCACTGGCACAACCCAACTAAGTACTGCAATCTTACAGGTGCCAGAGAGCTCTAGAAAACCCACTAAGTGTGCACGGCTGAAATCTTCAGAGTTGAAGCCCAGAGTAGCTTTACAGAGACTCTAACAGGCCTCCGATAAACTCTGTGACCAACAGGACCAACAGAAGCTCAGGATGACACAGCACCTTAGCAGAGCTAGGAGCTGCAGTACGTTTTTATTACCAAAATGCCAACAATCCAAGTGACCTAGTGCAAGATGAGACCCTGAGACCTGGGGAATTCTTGTTGTTTGCATTCCAAGAGTAACAAAAGCAATGCATTCCCTGGATTGGAAACCAGCCACCTAGAAAAACAATCATGTGCAGAAAACTGTACAAGTCTGCAATTTATCAGAAGGTAAGCACCATCTTATCAAAGATCTTGAGAGTGATTTCTCCATCATGGATGACATTACATGCCATGATTAAAAAAATATATTCTATTCAAATACCTGCTGCTGACATGATCTTGTCTTCTGAGATTTGACAACTGAGATAAGACCCGGAAAAAATCTGACACAAACAGCAGCCTCAGGTAATCAATGAAAGCCAAGCATACAGCTGAGTTCCTACTCTTTTTCTGCCTCCTTGAAGGCAAAAAGAGGTGGTGAGGAGCAAAAGGGAGGGCAAGAATACAAAACACCATAAACACATTAAAAGTATAAATGAAAAAATGGGTTTTGAGAAATTATTTACAACTCTCACGGACGAACTATAGCGGAGGTTCTATCAAGCCAAAGATCTGAGAGGAACTGAAGAATTCTTCCACAGTCTCTTAAAAGAGTTCTGAGAAAAAGCAGGGCAAGTATGCAACGCACTGGCATGACCAAGAGATGAAATTTTCAGTTTGGATGCACAAATACAGAAAGTGTTTATACAGTTTAAGAGCAAGAATCTAATAAAAATATTTAGTATTACAATCAAAAGGTTTTATGAGCCTGTAACCAAAGTGAACAGACTACTGTTCATTTTCTGACAGCTAAACCATCAGGTTCTTATACTGAAGATAGTTAGGACATGTAGAAAACTTGATACTTATTTTAAATTTGCGATAGACTTTTCTTAAAATATTCTAAATATTTTTTCACTTGCTTTTGCATCTTTCTGCGTTTGCATAACAGTGAAAACTAGCAGGAAGAATTGGATACATTACTGCCCTCTTTTTCATTCCATATTTACTGACACTCTTCAACCTTAATCTCTCACCTTTTTTGAAATGATTAGTGACTAATTTAGAAAGCAGAGTGAAACTTTTAAGCTTCTGCATCATACACTGAAGCAGCACACACGTAACTCTACAGAAATAACCTACTAGGGACTCCTATAGCGGCCTCTGAATCTGCGATCTCGACTTCTAGAACGGCTGCGCCTGCGTTCTTTGCTTCTGCTCCGTTTCCTTTCCCGGCTTCTGCTCTTTTTCCTTTCCCGATCTCTGCTCCGTTTGTGTTCCTTACTTCTGCTCCTCTTCCTGTCATGGCTTCGACTTCGGCTCTTGCTCTTTTTTCTCCTGAGAAAGACAAACACAACTTTGGTCACACATGGAGCTCAGTGTCATTGTTTACCTCATCGCACAGTTCCTCTAACCTAATGTCACAAACATTCATAAGAAAAAGTTTCTACCTGCTGGTATTTGTACAAGTTTCTTTTGTTCAGTGGGTGGTGAATTCCGTCAGCAATCTTTTAAAATTTATCATGAGCAACAAGGTGCTCCAAGGCACTTTATTTTTAGATTTTGTAATTGCTAAGGAATGCTTCCAAGAAATGCAAAAGGAGTAGAAAAAATATTTCTGCATCAGATCTAGTACATACTAAATGCAGTACTTCATATCTGTCCAACATACATTAAACACACCATCAAGACACTACAAATAAATTCTATTTTACAGCAAAGTTAAACAAAACAAAAATAGAAAGTAAGAGGAAAGCCTAAGGGTAAGAAAGGCTGTTTTCTCTTTATAACTCCTGCCATAAGTTTTAACACCACTTAAGAGTTTTGCTTCCTACTTGCTATTACCACTCATAATCCACTTGCTTCCTGCTTCTCTCTGCTTCCACATGGCCCCCTTTCCATAGGGGAAAAAGTCCCCAAAGCTCCAATCTGGGTCTGCCCACAGTCACAGTTCCCTCACACACGAACTGCTCCAGCACACACTGCCTGGAGTCACAGCTTCTTCAGGAGAAGCCACTGCTCACGTGGCCCTGTCCCACCGGTGCGCTCTACAGGCTGCAGGCAGTCGACCCGGCTCTCGCCACAGGTTGCAAAAGCGGAACCTGGGCTCTGCATCCTCCTCCCTCTCCTTTCCTTCCTTCAACCGACCTTGGTGCTCTTCAAAGCTGTTCTCAGGCCCCACTCCTTTATCCACTGCATGTCTCTTTTGATGATCCTGAAGAGTTCCTGGCTCTCTCTCTTTTCAGGATGGAGCTGCAGCGGGGCTTAAGCTTAAGTTGGGGTTGGGTCAAGCCAGCCAGGGCTGGGGCCACACCACCTGCACCTGGGGCTGCGCTGGTCAGGACCAGTGCCAGAGATAGAGAGAAGCATGCCCTGCACCCCCCTTAAATACAGGAATTCGCAGGGGTGCTGATTGGCTTGGCCCTGGTCAGAGGTGGGGCTGACAAAGGCAAAGGAGGAGCTTTTCAGGTAGCTTCTTGAAGGCCCATCTCCATAGCCCTTCCCCTGTTACCAAAGACACAACCAAAAACCCCTCACAGAAAACCCAATACAGTACTTCAGTACAAGCATAACTAACCTTCTAGCAATTGCTAGCTCAAAAACTGAAATGGGGAGATATCACAGGAACAGCTTTTCTGAACAGACATAAGGGTACAATTAGGAAAGAAGAAAGAGGTGCAACCCTAAACAACAAAGAACACTGCAAGACAAACAGTAGAAAAACACCTAAACTTTCTTCTACCTTTTTTTTTTCCCCCTCAACTTATTTTACTGTTACTCTGAACTGGAAATACAAACTCAGAGCACACAGGTCCAACCCAAACACAGGACAATGGGCAGAAAACTAATAAATGTCACTGTTTTAGAATCGGAGAAGCTGCAGCAACTAAGGAAATGAACTGAAATACATTCTAGTATTCTCATCATTCTACCATGAACCAAGGTCAGAACCAATTCTAAAATTTAAAACCCACTGCTTTTCTTTCAGATCGAGTTTATATTTTGGGACTAGCCATCCAAACAAAAGCAGGAATTTACATGGAATTTGTATATACTTTAAACCAATAAAAATTAATAACTTAAATACTGGGAGCTTTTCATGGGGTTTCACAGGTCTCAGTTTTTACCATGAGAAAGAGATTCACAGTTTTGTTTAGAATGCAGATGTAACACCTGGAGGAAGTGTTCTTTGAATCCTTTCAGCATTTCACATGTATGATAGCAGAAGATAAAACAGCACATGCTGACTTCTTAAGTTAGATGTATATTATAAAATGCACTTATTACTGTTTACTCAACTATCAAATTCAAAATTATTCTTCTGACATCAACTATCTCATCACCAAACGATGCTTGTAAGGCAAGGAGTTTATTTTACAACTTAAAACCTTCCATTTATTTGGGGTATTTGAGAGACTCTCTTACACAAGGGATTTTTCTTCAAATTTCTGAAGATTCTAGACTGTTTTTTGATTCTAGACTGTTTGGGTCATCAGCAGGTGCCCAGACCCTGGAATTACACTTCCTGAATAAAGTGGGCTTGTACTCTGGCTCTTTAAAAAGGTTATAGTATAATTTTCTACAGTTTAGATTAGAAACAAAAAATTTAGAAATTTTCAAATGAGGCAGGAAGAAAGGGAAGGGAATCTAACACACTAAACCTTTTCAAGAAACCACTGCTATCTGTAAATGCTTTGAGCTGTTCCAAGTCACAAAATTCTATACCAAGTACATTTCTAAAACACAAAATGCATTGCACTGCTAAAGCAATAAAAAATAAACTACACTGAACCTACCAAGTCTGTATTTTCTTCCTGATATTAAATGTTTGCACAACTTCAATGACATCAGTGACAAGAGCATAACTACATTCATAAACACCACAAAATTTTGTAATTGCTGCAGCTGCAGCAATTGCAAATATCAAGCTTTTCCATTTTACTTCCCTTAACACTACTGACATTCATTTGCAAGTTTACAAAAACCAGCAGCCTCCCCCTAAATGTACAGAATTGAAAAAATACTTACTTCTTGCTGCGTTCTTCATGGCCATTGGCACTGCTCAATTTGTTCTCATCCTAAGCAGGGTTGATAGAAGAACATCGTGAGGACGGAGCGGAAACATTTCAAGTGGTCAAAGGGTAATGGGAATAGGAATAAGAAAATACAAAACAAAAGTTTTAATACTAAATTACTTATTTACAGTTTAATGTGGAAAGATTTAGAAAATTTAGGTAGGCATGTTTAACCACTTTGCTGCTTAAATTTAAGTCATACAATTATAATATACAAGACTTACATCATTTAAAAGTGTATATTAAATTGAAGATACTTCCTCAGATGGTTTAAAGAGCAAGTTATCCTGTAGAATTCAGCACTCAAGTGGTTAAATGTTAAATGTTTATGTAAGAGGAAGTTTCAAGTTTGCGTGCCCCTCAGATCAGTACCAAGGCTATATCTCTGCCTAAGCCCCAGTGCCTACGCTAGCAGGCAGCCACTACGGATTTCCTGTGACCGATGCCATTCCCGAGATCTTCACTCATTTTCGTTGAAGGGTTGTAAGAGCTTGATGTCACCTCTGTCACACATCTCGCCCTGAAGCAAACAGGGATTCACACTGCTTTAGTAACGTCGACTCCCAAGAAAGTCATCAATAATCCACCAGTCCAGCCTAAACATTCCCTATTTCCATACCTGTTTACATGGAAAATATCCATGTTAAACCAGGACACAAGAAATTTAACGTAACTTACAAATTTCTCTTCAAGATTTTAATATAACTGCTAAATATTACATAAACTAAATATACCACTTAAAACTTACAAATACTCATCCAAAACTCATGACATAGTTTTAATAAACACTGCAGAATAGACTAACAATAGCTGCTATATAATTTATATACTTGCTTTACAGTTTCATCACATTAGTTACATCAAAAGTACAACTCCTAAGCAACTTGGACTCAATATACATTTATAGAGAAACCAGTGCTAAAGCATGCATAACATTAACACTTCACCACCATTTGGTGAAAAACAAATAAAGACAGTATTCATTTGCTGCTGGTTTAAAAGACATGACTACACTAATTGATAAAAATTTTGCATAAAAATTGACACTTCCTAATTCAACAAATAGGACAGAAGAATACAAGACCTTATTTTAGAATGAGACCGCAGACTGTGATACTGTCTTTTACTTGCTAAGAACATTCTACTCAGGGATCCAAGAATTTCTGTAAATTCGTTCACTCAGCAATTGATTTCCATCTGCCCTGTTAAAAGATTAACCGCCACCAGTTTTCTGCATTAAAAGCAAGTCTCACTCCTCTTGCACTGAGCAGACTGTTCAAATATTTACTTGCCATGGGACTGGTGAAAAGGTTATTCTTGGAACCCTGCTGTTTTCCCAAACCACTGCATTCACCTTGTTGCTATACCAAACTGGACCTGGCATGTTTAGAAGAGGTTTTTGGTTTACTGGGGGTTTTGGTTTTGTTTTGGTTTGGTTTTGGTTGTTTTAGTTTTTGCTTGGGGTTTTTTGGGTGAGTTTTGTTGTTTTGTTTTGGTTTTTTTTAAACCTAAGGGACCACGGTACAGCGATACGTCACTCAATTACTACCTTATGATTGACAGTTCACACTGGAATCAAAGGTGAATTCATGGGAGTAGAGGTGAGATATCGTTAGGCAAGTCTACAAAGAGAGATAGATGGGCATTTATTCATCACGCTGAAGTGAAACTACTGCACAATATAATTACATTAACAGCATATATTTACTTGTAAGTTACATGTAATGCATCTCCAATAAGATAAATCATGAGGGCTCCAGGGATGTTAGTTTACAGTTCAGCAGTAGTTTCATGAATAATGCTAAATTAAGGTAAACAGGACCTCTGTGGTGCATTTTTCTCACCTTCTTGTACGGAGCTTCAAGCATTGCTTCAATATCAATATCATCAGCCATTTTTCAGGACACCTGAAAGAAGCAGCAAAATCCACCTGAGACAAAAAACACCCTTGTGCTTTATATTCCAAAGGCTTTTGCTTAGGAGGCCATCACTGCATTGACTCAAATCCATAGAGCAGCACCTCAGAAGACATTTCCAACAAGAACCTGAATGAAGCTTTGCCCAGTATAAAGAATGTGACAACACAATTACAGCTGCAAACATCATTGTGCTGTTGAACACAATTAGCCAGTGAAAACCTCAAAGGCATTCCACCTATTTCTTTCAAAAGAGAGGACAGATCATTTATGGTACAGAAATACAGGTCAGGTGGCCTTCTTGAGAACTACAGCTTGACCAAAGGACCCAAGAGAGACACGTAGAGAACAGAGAACATTCAGGCAAGCCTTTTCACAGCTTCCTAGCATTTGCTACCATCATATTTACTAATCTGAAGACTTGCAGTGAATGCTATGGTCCTTTAAGAAATGCAGCCTCCAGCATAACAGGGCCATAGAAGAAACAGTTATGATTCAAGCATTAAGACCTACTAAAGCATACAAAATATCCATGCAGTCTAGAACTTCATGTCTGGGACAAAAAAAGTTCCACTGTGCCATGTAATATCAAACACCACACACTTTTTTTTTATTTTGTTCCTTTTATTTTTATAACTTCAAACCCCTAACGTAATTTTGTGTTTATTATACTCAATCTTTTTGGCATCAGATT